ACGAAGGATTGTTGAAATAATAAAAACAAATTATTAGCAATAGACATTCATTACGATGCCATGATGAAATAATTAGTTCTCCCAACAATGGAAATTTCTTAAAGATAATAGATAGTTTAAGTTATTCAGTGTAACTAAAAGCTGTATAGAAATAAAACAGTTCCTAAAACATGAATTGGACCATACTGAACGTCATGCAGGATCTCAGAGGCCCAGGGCCACAAACACCCAAAAAGACACATGAGGTCCTGTCAGCCTTGTCTGTAATCATACAGCCACTTCGTGTTTCCTGAGTCAAGAATTTGGATTGTATGCAAGATGACAAATGTCCCCATCGACAATGCAACGACTTCTGCGGTGCTACAGACTGTAAGCACGGTGACCATTGCTGCATCTTCCCTTAACATTGTAGCCTAAAATGCTGTGCTGAATGAGAACTCTTTTTGCAGAAGTGGCACTGCGTCTTTTTTCAGGTGAGTTTCGATTTTACGCATGGCATCATGATGAATGTATCTATATATATGGAGGTCTGAGGAGAAGGAACATTGCCAGCTTACATTTGTCATCGTCATACGGGCACTGAATCATATAGGTTCTGCATGCAATCCTGGAAAATGCCATTCCATACAGCTTCAAAGTTCAGTCTTTATGTGAACCCCACCAGCTGTACAAGTGAGTTCCTGACTGATGAAATCCCAGACATACTCAATGGGTGACATATTTGGGAAATAAGCATGCTGTGGTGGAAGAAGTGAAACTAGTTGTGCCCTAAAGAAGGCTTGTGCAGTCTGTGCATAGGCATTGTCCAGCTGAAATACAGTACCCGGAATGCGTCAAAGAATGGGGAAAACCAGCAGGTCCACAACTTCCCTAATGTACTGATCACTGTTGAGGTTCCTCGCAATCTGCACTAGATAGGATCGAAAATTATACCCAACAGCTTCTCACACTATGATGCAATGTATTTATGCGATATGATGTCGGATAACACACTCATAGACTCCAACCTTCAGCAAACCTTGTCAGTAGTCAACGCGCGAACGACATTTTTACAACTTTGAAAATGTGCGCGTAGCGTATGTTGTAATTAACCATTCATTAATTTTAAATTAATAATTAATTGTAATCAATTTTATTACATTTAAAATCCATATACATATAAAACTGAATAATTAAAAATATACCTTGTAAATTATATGCACATTTAATTAGAAATTTTCTTTTAACTCCTCAAGCATTCACTAATAAAAAGTACTTCAAATCACTACTAATCATAGAAAAAATCAGAAGCTATAAATCATATCTTTATTCTGGATATGATTTCTACAGGGAAATAAAATTTAAATAACCAAGAATGATACATATAAGTATTAAACAAAATACGCATAATTTATGAATGCAAAGATTTATATGTAGCATGCTTAGCAAGCTTAAGTTCTGATTTTGAGAATGTTTTTTTTATAACACAGTTCTTCATTTGCCTGCATATTTATTTTTTCAATCAAAACTGCTTCAAGAGTTTTAAGACCTAAATTTGGTCGAAATTCCGTCTGATTTTTTTTAACAATAGAAAAAATTCTTTCGCAAGCTGCATTTGAATGAGGTATTATTAAGACAGCAAGCATTACAGAAGGCAATACTTTGTATTTAATACACCCATTCATATTTTTTAATTTGGCAATTTCTCCCCATGCTATATCAATACGCAAATCTACAATTTCTTTCAAATCATCTACTTGATACATGGAAAATTCAATTTCTACTTGATTAAGACATTTTTCATCAATAATGGATGGAAAAGTATTCATCAAGTAAAGAACAGATGAAAATGAGACTTCAGTTCTCAAGTTGATGTCAGCAACTTCAGCATGTTTTAGAAATGGATCACTCAGTGGAAATTTATCAATTATATATGAACATGCAGTTACAAAAAAAGCTCGCACAGAATTGAAAAATGATTTCACTTCACTTTCATTCAACTTGGCATTTTTTAAATATAGTCTTGTTTCCGCACCAATCACTAAATTTTCATTTTCTTTTTGTTTACTATACTTCTGAAATGGAATAGACGTTAGAGTAACATCTTCATTTTCTTTAGAAATTACTGATGGTTTTACGAATCTAACAAATAAATTCATTAAAAGTTCAAAAAGTTCTCTTCTCAATTTATGTATATAAGGAGCTTGTTGTTGCAAATTAATATTTACTGTTATAAACAAAGGCAAAGTATTTTTCAAAAATAACAAGTACAATTTGGTGGTCGGTGACTGTAAAATTTTTTTAATGTTTTGCAATCTCTTTCCTTCATTCTCACTGTTATCTGGTTTATCTCCAAAAAAATTTATCACAGCATCCCACTGTTCCAAAATCCTTGTTATAGATTCTAAAAGAGACAACCATCTCGTACTGCAATATTTCAAAATTTTATGAGATTTTGCATTCTGTCCCAAAATTTGTTGAGCAACTTTGAAGCTATGCTTCCGTTTCGAACTTTTCTCCAAGTAAAAATATATATCTATTATCAACATTTCAATTTCTGAGCCAATTAATTTTTCAGTAGCTTTTTTTGCAGCTATATGCAAGAGGTGGCACGGACAACCTCGGGTGATTATACTTGGTTGATGCATTTTGATAAATGATGCTACACCTTTAAACTTTCCAATCATATTACTAGCATTATCTGAAGAAAATGATAAGCAATTTTTCCATTCTAAACCTTTGTTTTTAAAGTTTTCATTTATACAATTAAAAATACCTTCTCCTGTATTATTCGTGCATTCTAAAATAGAAATCAATGAAGTAATTATCACTCCCTTTTCTTTACTGTAGTATGTTATAACCAATGGGTACAGTTTGTTATCATTGTTATCATTACTTCCATCAGTACTTAGAGAAAATGATGTACTGCACACTGATTTTATAATATCAGCAACAGTATTTTCTGCAAGCGTTTTCACAATAGCAGCAGTAGTTTTGGTATGACCGCAGCTAAATTTTTTTGCTATGGCAGAATCCGGAAACATTGCTTTGAAAAGCTCTTTGGAATGATCCGAAACAGAAAGCGGTAGATTATGTTCAATTAAAAAACGAACAAAATAGCATTCGGCTTTTATAGGATCTGTTTCATCATCTTTTATTAAGAAATTTGTTATTTCTTTAGATTTTACGGTGCCAAGTTCTATATGCTTTTGAGAAAACACATGCCGTTTACAGTCATCTTTTCCGCCATGAGCAACTGAGAAGTCTTTGTTGCATACACTGCAGTGTGCGTGATTCACAGAAATTTCGGACGCTTTAATGCATGGAAATTCTGAAGAATATGAATCTTTAAACTTCTGCTTTGATAATTTTGGCTTCTTCGTTCGAGGCAGCATTATGATTAAAAATCTTTCACCTGATTCACAGTTCACAAGACACACGCTAAGCTCTCGCCGTAAACTACACAATGCAGCCGAATGCAGCCTAAACACGCATCAGCGAGGAACCTGGGAGACAGACAATTGGGTGGAACTATTGATAAGTCGTTAACGGTTGGAGTTACTGATCTACGATTGGCTAATTCTTCAAAACTAGGAACGCACTCAACACGTGATATATGATAACACGAGTATTCAGCCAATCATCGGATGAATTAGTTGGTTCCGTTTTGCGTACTGGTTCTCCTGCTCTTGTTTCTGTAAAATCCGTAGTTTTTTCCATACTTTTCGTAGCTCGTAGTTTTTCATGAATTTCCGTAGAAACTACGGAGAATCTGTAGTAGTTGGAGGTCTATGCACACTGTAGGAGACCACACCTTGTGTTTGCGTGCCCACTGAAGCCAGAGGCATCTGCGATTCAGTGGCATGGGAATCCTGTGTAGAGGAACCCTTGCGCACAGTTCATGCTGCAGCAACCAGCAATGAAACTGTGGAGTTAAAGAATACAACACATGTAGCTGTGCTGCAACGTTGTGCTAACACGCGAGAGAACACTGTACAATCCGTCACAGCCATGCGGATGAGGTGTCTGTTGTCCCGTGCCATTATGCTATTATTATGTACCCGCACTGCCAGGATTTTGTATTCTTTGGCTCTCTTCTGTTCATTTCTTCAAACATGCATCACTGTTGTCACATTAACCTGCATGCAGACTGCAATTCCTCGATACGAAAGACATGCTCTTGCACACTGATGATGTAGCCTCGTTTGAACTCCGTTAGTTGTAGATATGGCACCTTCTGCTGTTGACAAGGCACACTAACCAATAATTAAGCATTCATCGCAAACAAAGGATGATAAACATATTTCAATGCAACTTTACAGTCCTTTATTTATAGGGAACAAGCTGGTTCTTTATTACATGGAACGGCCGGTTCTCATTGCACACATGCACAATTGCTTTGTAATTATAATGATTTGCATGTTTTATCTGACTTTACATTTTCTATAAGTTTGGTTCAATTTGCATAGTTCCTTCATGGTGTTGCAATTTTCACAAGCATTACTTTACACAGTATGAGAGCAGGATACCCTCTTTCAAAGACTAGAACTTAATTTTTTAAAAAAAGTGCAATTTAAGATAGGTACTTTTCCATTATGCTCTTGCGATGCTTTCTGTGGTTTCTGAAAGAGAAGCCAAACACACATCGAGACCCAACAATATAGCTATCTGAGCTATTATTGTGTGAGTGTTTGTGTATCTATAAAAAGTTCTTATAATTAGAAATTGCTTGTGACTAAAAAAACCACCAAAATGTCTGTTAGGTGCATAATGGAAAAGTACATTAAAAAAATTAATCAAGTGGTATAACCATGGTACAGAGCTGTAACAGTCAAATCACTAGAAAGCAACAGTACTCATACACTAACTGAGAGAAAAACAAAGAAATTCAAATAAAAAGCGTGACAAAAACACAATAAATTATAATAAATAATAATAACAATAACACATAAACATATTCAATATAAAATATACAGATTATACATTCCACAAAATTTTAATTATTTATTTACTAATTTACGTTATGTTGCATGAGCCCATTCATTTGGGTTTACATCAAAATCTTTCATTTTTAATTTTAAATTTAACCATGTACCAAATATTCCAACATCAACTATCCTTTCATGAAATGAAAAATATTTTGGTTTTAAATATTTACACTGAGCTGAATACATATCACAGTCTTTACTATAATCAGCAGTCCACATCAGTGTAAAGAAAGCAAAGTCAATACAACGTAGCAAACCTTGATTGTGACACTGTGTTAGAAACCGTACATGTTTCTCAGCCTGAGGATTTCGAATTGGGTCAGCAACCATAGCTAAGTCAGTAATACAAGATATAAGTTGATCATAGAATGATCGTTCTCCTGGATTAGATTTCAGAGCAGCAAATAGCATACCTAAACCTTAAAAAATAATTTAAAAAAAAAGATTATTATTAATAGTATTAAAAATATTATGAACTACAGAAGTTTATGTCGTGATACATATACAGGGTGTTTCTAAATGATGAATATCGGAGTTTTAACGCTTTGTAGTATTTATTACGTAAAATTTAAAATCCTAATTAATACATGAAATGAAAGAGCAACTCAGACAGTTCTGTTTGTTGGTGTGCACATGCACTAGAAAGCGCTAGTAAGAAAAATGGCGACTAGTGAACAGAAAGACCGAATCTATAGTTATTGTACAGCATGCATTTCAGGGTTCAGATGTGATCCCCCAAGTGATATTAGCATCTGTAGATGGTATCATCGGTTTGAAAATACCGGCTGCCTTTGGAACGAGAAGACTATGGGTCAACTAAGGGTTAGCGAAGAGTGTTGAGCGAGTGAAAGAGTCTTTCACACATAGCCTGAAGAAATCTATTCAGAAAGCTAGTTGTGAATCTGGTGATGACTGTTTGTAAAGTTTTATGGAAATGCTTACAACTATGTCTTTATCATTTTTAGTCAGTACAGGCTATAAAGCCTAAGGACCATGGTTTACGTGTCAACTTTGCACATGAAATGTTGTTGCACAACAATTTTCTGGATCATGCTGTTTTCAGTGATGAGCCAACATTTCACTTCAGGAGACAAGTGAACACTCATAATGCATGCAACTGGGGCTCAGAAAAACCTCATGAGATAGTACAATTGTAATGAGATTCCCCTAAATTGAATGCCTTTTGTGCCACATCTTGATGGAAAGTTTATGGGCCTTTATCTTTGGAGAAGCAACTATAACTTGTACTTCCTAACTTGATGCTCTCCAATGATGGCTATTTCCCCAAGTGGTAGAAGACGAACCAAATAACTTCACTTGGCAGCAAGCTGGTACACTGCTTCACTGGCATAGTGACATATGCGAATGGTTGAATGTCACTGTACCCGACTGCTGGATTGGCCACACAGGGCCCAATGACAGAGGTTTCACATGGCCTCCACGCTCACCCAATCTGACGCTATGTGATTTCTACCTGTGAGGTTTCATAAAGGACTGTGTGTATGTGCCTCCACAACCAGCTGACCTACCCGTCCTAAAAAAGAGGATTGAGGCAGCTGTTGAAAATTTTACACCACAAACACTAATCAATGTTTGGGAAGAACTGGGCTATCAGCTTGATGTGTGAAGAAAGGTGCTCACATTGAACACTTGTAAGCATCTAGGTATAACTGTTTGAGTTGCTCTTTTATTTCATGTATTAATTATAATTTTAAGTTTTATGTAATAAATACTACAAAGTGTTAAAACCCTGATATTCATTTGGAAACACCCTGTACTATAATAAACAATTAAATTACTGAGATGCTATCCTACATATAATGATAAACCAAAAACACAAATATTATTGTATTACAGTTAATTAAAGTGAAAAGCAAAGTGTAAGAGAACCAACCACCTGTGGCAAAACAAAAAAGCTTCAGTAAACAAAGAAAACAAATGAAAAAAAAATATTCACTTGTCACAAAACTATATTCAAACTTTACTAGTACAAATAAAGAAACTTTAAAAATGTTATTCACTTCACACATTTTTTATAAACTTCAGAAAAATAATAACATTTAGTCTATATACACTTGATTTCACATCAAAGAAGGAAATCTTCAACAACTTTCTAATTTATAAAAGAATATAGTTCTCATTATATTACAGTTCTTATTGTAGAACAATATCTCAATCATTAAAAATATACACTATATTTACACACATAATTTGCCCTTAAATTTTGCTAATTTTAATTTTTGAAAGCAAATAAAGGAAAATTGCAGAATGCACACCATTTATGAGGGAAAAATTAAGAAAAGAGCAAGGTATATTAAACAACTCACATGAATAAATGTACTAATGTTACTTTGTTTGGTATTTCAGAGAATGTCATTACAATTATTGTCTTCAATAGGATTCTTTTTTACTTATTTATTTATTGCAAGCTGATACCTTAAATAAAAAGTTCCTAATTCATATACTGGAAAAGCTAAGTGAAGAAACATGTGGGTAATCTCTGAGAGGGAACCTCTTCTCCATTCATTCTAGTTTAATGAAAAGAATATTTTGATGGTGATATAAGATTTTAAATTAAGATTTTTTAACCCTCATACCAGACCATTAAAATTACCTGCTAGTAAAGCTATTTACAATGATTGGAATGTAATTAATTATCATTAATTTTTTATACCATGGAATATATATGTATTATTTAAATTTGTTTACTTGATGTAACACATTATATATGCACCAATATGCTCAATGTTATGTTTTTTAAAATATTTTTATTATCATTAGAAATTTTATCAATGGTATAAAAAATGGAAAAATCTCTCAAAGAAAACCGTCAAAAGCAAAACATTATGCAAAGCATTGTAGCTTTGTCTAATATGTATCACTTCAAATGGAGGAGGGTGGAATCACCGTGAAAGAATTTTGAAAAGAATGCAAGAAATTACTTATTTGATAAGCTGTAATTTCCATTCTTAATAACAACAATCATAAATGATAAAAATAATAACCTAAAAACACATCATAATAATTAAGAATATGCTAATTAATGTAAAAAAACTTAATATATAAAGGATGATACAATGAAATGACTAATATAATGATGTGAGCAATAATTTTTACATTAAAATATCATTGAAAATCAAATTTTAAACTTGAGTTAATGCCTGTTCTATGCATTCCTGACAGATAACATAATTTGTATTACTTCAAGATCATTTTAGACCTCCTAGATAAAATAAATACTGCAGTACATAAAGAGAATTTTGGGTTATGTGAAATGTTCAAATGGAATATACGGACTTTATAATAGAAATGGAGCATTGAAAACGTTTATCGACATTTTCACTCAATACAAGCTTGATGTCTTGACCACCCAAGAAATGAGATGGACTGGCCAAGTAGTGACTGATAAACAAAACTGCAAAGTGTATTATAGCTGTCATATAAAGAGACATCAATTTGGTACCTGTTTCATTGCTAGTAACCAGATTAGGGACAGAGTTATTAAATTTAAACTAGTGAATGGAAGAATTAGCAAGAAAGAATCATGCTCCCATGGAAGAAAAAGATGATGATGAGGAGAAGAATGAATTTTATGATATTTTTGACAGGATTTATACTAAATGTCAGATGTAAAGCTCATTATGGGAGAATTTAATGCAAAGATTGGAAAAGATGAAAATATGAGAGTATTTGCTAGATCTCTCAGTCTACACAAAGAGACAAGTAATAATGGTTTTAGACTTTGATATTACATCTAATATGATACAGATAATAAATATATATACATATAATCTAATATATATACAAAAATTTAGTTAATTATCACAGTTTTAATTCATAAAATTTTAATTAAAATTTAATATTCTATAATGTTATAATTATTTAGTTTCAGCAACCTTTTTCGTTACAAAATAAAATGTTATATTATTAACAACTTTTAATTAGCAAGCAATCTTAATACCATCGTGTAAATATTTCAGTGTCAGTTGCTGTATAAATTTGAATGAAATGATCAAAATATTTGAATAAATGATTTTCGAGTTTCTTTCCCTGCTACTATAAGTTAATATACTTACAACAACTAATCAACATTATAAATGATATTTCTATTTGAAAAATTAGCGACAGTAGAATTCTAGAAACTAGAGACTATGTTTTGATGTTACAGTGTGCGGAAAAAAAGTTGACTTAATGTTACATGCAAACTTTCTTCCATCACATTCACAAAATATTAAATTTTGAACGTTCCAGAGAAAGTTAATATGGAAACATTCTGCACTTATAATACAGAGAAGCTTACTGTCTGTGTCAAGTTTCAGTTCACGCATATGAAAACTCTTCAACACATAAATAAATAGTGGAAAAAATACAAATTCACGTAGATTTTATGTAAAATAACATTGATTGATCGCTGTACATTTTTGCATTGAAGAGAAGGGGAGAAAAAAGAAAACTGCAATTTTTGACACCATTAGTAGTCATACATTAAAAAAAGGGATTCTTCTGTCTAGTAGAAAAGGTTAGGCTATTAGAATATGACAGAGTAGATGAGGGCTATTTGCATAAGATGAGGAATGCTTTCGTGAAGGATTTTCATAGGAAAACTGACTCGTATTTGCATTCCACAGGTGAAAAACCCCAAAAACAAATCATGCACTCAATGTTTTCGGCCTGGGATCGAATCCTAGTCGAAGTACCAGTATTCAGCTATGAAGTATGTGTACATGTGAGCATATAACATTAAAATTTTGTCATTTTAAACATAAATTAGAATAGCACATCTTTTATGATACATTGAGTAATCTTCAGTACGATGTAATTAATGCCCTAAATATGAAAGTTTGTGAAACTTAAATTAGAAATTATAGCAAATCATTCCATAGAAATATGTTATGCCTGTGTAAACATATTACATGTAACTATCAATTATTCATGAGTATTCTAGTAGGTATGTCAAGTAACAATTTGTCAGCAGTATAGATATTATTAATTTAAGGAGATAATTTCGATATGTGTGCCTTTTGTTTGAGTATAGTTTTGCTCCTGTTACTTTTAAACTAAACATATCACTTGAAATAAATTTCTTTCTAAAATCAGAGGGATATTATTAATGATTCTTCTTTATTAATATAAAATTTATCCTTTTTATAAATAACTAGAAAGCTTAGATTTTACAATCTAATAAATATTTTATCTTAACTTTCTGAAAAATTGAACGCCTATTAAAATGTATGAAAATGAATTAAATCCTGAATTTTTTTCCCAGCCTTATGGTAATCAAATTTTAGAATCATCCCTTTGTATATCTGTATAGATTATAAGAAAGTATCTCATTCTTTTTTGAGGGCTCTTGTGGTGTAAGTGATAGTAGATCGGACTAGCAATCGGAAAGTCTGCGGTTCGTATCCCTG